GGAGAATATTGGAAAATGCCCTGGGTGAGTAGTATACCGCATAAGTTTGATGGTGCGTTGTCATTCCCGTTCTTAACTTTTCCACACTCCTCATCACCTGCAAAATAGTTGTGCTTTTAGGGTGTCGATAATGTGTTTTAAAACCAGATTTTAAAGTATGATTATTGTTATTTCGTGTTTTTCTGCTTCCTCTTCTGTGTTCTCGGCTTCTGCTTGGGGAACTCCTGGCATTCCTCCCATCTCATTGTGGGTGCTCGGGAATGACTTTGTGCCATTTTTGTTAACCTTATATTTTTTAACTAAACAACAGACTTTTCTGGGGTTTCCCCAGTTTTCCACTACTGTCCTTTTCCTGCTCCAGGATGTAGTCCATTTAGCCTTGTGATTTTTTCAAAGGGCAAATGCCCTGCACAGCTGACTAGAAATCCTCCCTTCTGCAGAATGTTAAAGCAGAAGTGCATGAAACAGGCCGTGCGAGTGACAGACTCAACACCCAGGGTGACAGAGAGTGATGAAGGAGACGCTGGTCCTCACGCCTCCCCCTTTGACTTCCCTGGGATTGTCCCAGAAGGGCAGTCATGGAGGGTGGGTCATCTCAGCTCCATCCTGCTGCCCAGAGCCTCCTCCCAGGAGAGGCTGTCACTGCCAGGGATGAGCTGTGGCATCTTGGGCAAGCCCCTTACCACCTCTAGACAGTTTCCCCATCTGTAAGTTGGGTTGAACTTCCTCCTTGAGGTAATTCAAGCTCTGCTATTTTAAGGCTCTCAGGCCTCTTATACTTTCATTTCCATTTGCCCTTGAGTGACTGCAAATCATGGCAACCCATGAGTGTCAGAGCAGAACTGTGCTCCATAGGGTTTTCAATGGCTGGTTTTTCAGAAGGAGATCGCCAGGCCTTTCTTCCAAGGTGCCTCTGGGTGCACTCAAACCTCCCACTTTCGGTTAGCAGCTGAGTGTGTTAACTCTGTTTGCACCACCCAGGGACTCCTGCTAATTTACAGGGTCCAAAATCGGGGCTGGGATCAGGCTGAGCTCATTAGCTCTCCCTTTCCTCCCGTGGCAGGGTGTCTTGAGCCTCAGTGGTTAGACTGGCGCCCCGAAGGCAGACGTGGAGGCACTCTTTCTGTTGTTTATAACCTGTTCCGTCCTTCAGTGGGACATAGTGACAGCGTTGCTGGACTAGTTTTGTACATTCACCAGGAGGTCTTGCAGGCCTGAGGGGCGGGGGCGGGGGTGGTGGTGAGCAGACTCCAGATCAGCAAAGCCACGTCAGAGGCTTCGGGCCCTACCTCTGCCCGGAGATAAGGTCCAACCTGAGCGGCTGGCTTCCTCCTCAGACGCAGAAGGAGAAGAGGGTGTGTGTATTTACCACAAAGGTAAATAATGTTCCCAGTGTCTGGTTAGAATGGGTTTCGCCACCTCCCGGGTGTGCGCTGGTGCCTGTCTGTGATGTCTGAGACATAGTACAGCTCCCAAGACCAGGAAAGACAGGGGAATAAAAAGATCGTAAGAAACAAAGCAAAATGAAAAACCATTTGCTTTACTCTCTTTGGGTTTATGGGTCTCCTTGTTAGGATGTAGGGGTCTGCAGACTGCGGGTCCAGTTGGCCTACCACCTGTCAAACTGGAGCACAGCCATGCGCATTCCTTTTGGGGCGTCTGCTGCTTATAAAGGCGGGGTAGGGTGTGTGTCATCGACTGCCCTTTGCAGGGATTTCTTTTGTTTGCCGACCCTGGTAGAGGGAGTTCTCAAAGAGAAGTGATAACTGCCCTGCTGCATTTCTTGTGACTGCTGGAGAAGTGGGGTTCACGGGAGGGGACCCCGATGGGGTGAGTGATAGGCAGGTCCCGAGTCAGTCTCCACACTAGTGTAAGTCACAGAAGAGAGTGGGCAGCTGTGAACCAGACTTCAGTTCCCCACGACGGGCTGAGACCAGTGAGGGGCCTTAACTGTGAGGAAGGCTGACAAGGAGAAGGAAGACCCTGGCTGGTGGGGATGCCAGCAGAGACACGTGACTCTGGCGGCCCCTGGCTGTAGCGTCTGGCATTGACCGTGACGGTGCTTACTAAGCTGCCTGCTGCTGGGAGTGGAGTTAGGCACGGGTGGGGGGCGGGGCAGGGAGAAATGTGCCTGAGTGGACGTCGGGGCCCAGAGCCTTCTCCATGAGGGTGGCGTATGGCCTGCCCCACTCCATCCCGGGATGTCACCTGTCCTCTGAAATAGTCACAGTGGTCCTTGAGACTGTTTTGCCAGGAAAGGTCCCCTGTTTTAGAACAAGTCCACATCTGGGTGAGGGGCTAGAGGATGGGCAGAGGTGGGTGGCCTGTGTGGCACTGTGGTCGCCCCCGCCCCCAACACAGGCCAGCCCCTGCCTACCCTTATGTCCCAGCTATGTGGCTGTATGTCCCTTCTCCTCCCTCCACACATGCCAACCCCCCCCGCCCCGCTGCTTTGTCCCCTCCTGTTCGGGCCAGCTTCCCCATTGCCCTCGTGTCCCAGCCTCTCCTGTTGCCCACACAGGCCAGCTT